GGATGTGTACTAGAGTTAAGAATGAAAAAGGGGATTAAACATGAAGGATTTAATCCGAATGAATGAACTTTCGGGTTCAAAAAGAGGATTCTGGGCAGAGTGCACCGATGCACATTCATGGTGCATCGATGCATCAAGGTTAAAACCCAGAAATTATATGAATGTGCATCGATGCATTGGTAGTGCATCGATGCACTATTTTAAAATAAAGACATCGAATGCAATTCGTGCATCGATGCATAAGTAGTGCATCGATGATAGTGAAACATCGAATGCAATCGGTGCATCGATGCATAAGGAGTGCATCGATGCATCCCAACAATAATACTACATCGAATACCTTTGATGCACCGATGCATCAGTAGTGCATCGATGCATACTTTCATTAAAAGATGAAATTGACTTTTCTCTTAGTCTAAAGAGTGAACCATTAGAGTATATTAGTTATAATACTGATATACATCCATGTGTGATTATGTAGATACTAAAAGTAAGTTTATTCCGGAACGATCAAAGGATTAGAATCGAAACAAAGCAAAGCTAAGGTAAGTGCATACTATATGTATATTATAATGGAATAAGACTTGTGATAAGTCTAATCCCTATGTTGATTTTTATAATACAGTAGTTGTGAACATGCATACATGATAATTATTGTGATACATGCATAAGATATATATATGTTCATGTGATATGCTATGTGATATGACCTGTGGTATGAGAACATGATATGAAGTGACATGAGCTACATGATCACAAGAGAAATGACATGAGCTACATGATCACAGGAGAAATGACATGAGTACATGAACATATGAAATATAAGAATAATGCCCATAGTATACGATATGAGAATTATAGGTGTAATTGGCATGCCAAGAGTCGAGGGTATAATAGTCCTTCGGGATGTAGTCCTTCGGGACGTAGTCCTTCGGGATGTAGTCCTTCGGGACGTAGTCCTTCGGGATGTAGGAGTCCTACGGGACGAATACTGAACTAAGGTTCGGTGCCCCATGAGGGAATATATATGAGCTGTGGTGACAGCATTAGTGCACAATCTCAATGCACTCACATACCTCTAATCTCAATAAGATACATGGGCTATGCAATTGAAATACCGATTTACAGTGAAAGTGATACAAGAAGGTAAGTTTCGTATGTGCATTATATGGTTATATATGTTATCATGTGATAAATAAATGCACATTGAAATGTCATGATCCAATGGTAAGTATGAACATTCATAAGTTTATCGTTGCATATTCATTTATTGCCTCACTAAGTGTATGACTTAGCGTGTAAGTGATTTACACGTAGGTACCAAGAATCAGGAAGAGTGGAAATAGAAGTAGCACAGGCATCAATACTACTAAGAGATCAGATCAGAAGTAAATTGACAAAGTATGTACTTGATTATGTATAGAGTGTTGGTATGTAATAAGTGTTGATTACGAATACTCTGATCGATTTTGTATTTTATGGTCTTATGTAAATTAATGTATTTCGTTTTAATGAAAGTTTTAAAAATTCCCGGGATTTTCTGTAAGAGTCAAAGATTTGAAAAGTCAATGTGACACGTCGAACTCGTATCCGGGTCGGGTACGGGTTGGGGGTGTTACAGGTCCAAGAAGTCTCGAATGACTGCATCTCTGACATTTATCTTTTGTTGAACTTGTTCCCAACGAATACATCATTGGAGTCCTCAATTGATAGAAACTATGTGAAGTTCATTTGTCTGTTTCTTGAATTCATCAACAATGGTCTCCAATTTCAGCTATCGTTTTGTCATTGTTGCCTTTGAAGGGACTCCCTAGATCAATAACTTTCATCTTGCCCCTGCAACCTCTGCCAGTCAGTTCTTCAAAGATAGACTTTCATTGTGCTTGATGTAGACCCGGTTCATTCTGAGTCCTTTATAATGCAACAGAGTGATATATTATTCAATTGTGGGCACCACGTCTTCTGAATTGAATGTGACACATAGTCGCCTTGTAGACTATCCTCTGCATTTTCATCTCTTATATTATAACCCCTTTGTCCATTATTGTAGATTATTCATGTTTAACAAACACGTTTTTGGTAGATCAATACCTCTTTTAAATGATGCGAATGATGAAAACAAAATAAAAGAGAACAAAAAAAAATAAAAGAGTTAGTGAGGTAAATCAAAACAATAATAAAAATGAAAGATCCTACCCCACATGATATCTACCCCACATGCTTTAATTCCTACCCGGACATGATCTTTATCCCGCATGCTAATTTCAAACAAATCCTAACCGCATATTTGTCTAGTTCGCATGTTTTGAACATAAAGTAAAGTAGGAAACAAAGCAACCTAGGGTTTGGAATGAGGTTTTGGGGTGGGCTCTAATTCCCTGTACTCTCCCGGATTAGGTTCTAAAAACGGTACTCGAGTTCTCCTTGCTGGTGTCCCATTGGGCTTGCCAGACCCTTAATTCTAAGTCCATCACAAGCTTATGTGGACTAAGTTAAACTCGAGAGGATACATTCCCTTATGCCCATACGGAGAATAAATTCACACGAAGACATAAGGTATATGAATCCTGAATGTTACTTGCTAGACCCATGCGGAGAATAAATTCCCACGAAGGTGTCGCTTTCGCCCCCACTTAAAAGGGTTCGAAGCTCGGGTATAGAGCTAGAGATGACAATTTTAAAAATTTGAAATCATTAAAAACGTTAGTACAACTATTTATTTGAAAAAAATAATCAAAGATAAATAATAAGAATTGAATAAATGAATTAAAATTTAAACTTGTAATTTTCGCTAAAAAAGGCAACCGGAAATTAATTTCGGCCTGACTCACTTACTGTCCCCAGCGGAGTCGCCAAGCTGTCGGAACCGTTTTTCGGTTGGACCCCGAAAATTAGGCTTCGACTTGGGAAAATGGGGTTAGAGTCGCCACCAACCACTTTAAAACAAATTTAGGTGGGTCGGACACCATCTTACCTGATTTGCGTTGTACCAGAAACGTGTCGAGTTCGGGAGTCGGTTACGGTCAAGGAAGGATTAGCACCCTTAAACCGCCCTTTCGGTACCAATTAATTTTCTGGTTGTCTTTATTTGCGAAAATTAAAATTAAAATTAAAATTCAAAAATTTAATCCGAATTAATTACCTTTGATCAATTAAAAGTATCCCTAAAAAGTCAAAAGTGTTGGATTGTAAAAATGAAAATAAACATGAGAAAAGAATAATAAAAAATATTAGTATAATAATATTAATAAAAAAATAAATAAATATATATATATATATATAACAATGTAAAAAGAAATAAAAATATTAAAATTAAGATGAAATGAAAAATATATATAAAGTAAATAAATAAAAAATGAAATAAAAAGAATAAGACAAAAGTTATTACATCTCCCATGTTTTGCATGTAGAGAAACTGGATTTGTAATGAAAATGCTTTGCCACTCCTCGTGTTTTTAGATACTGGCTTTGGATCCTCCACGCTTATTTTTGTCATTTTCTTCCTTTGGTTTTTTTCAAATCGTTGCTCATTCCTCTGATTTTGATTCCACATTTTTCTCTTTGTGTTTTCCTCTTAATGCTTGAGTTTATTTATAGTCTAAAGAAACCTATTTTTAGTTTAGATTTAGAGTCCTACTTGGACTTAAATGCTTCAGTTTTAGTGCTTTAATATGACTCAAATACGTTGGTTTTAGTGTTTCAATAGGACTCAAATACGTTGATTTATTTTCTAAATCTTACTAAATCATGGTTGTTGAATGTAGGACCTGCAAAAAAAATAAAAAATATTAATAATAATAATAATAAATAAATAAATATAATATAATATAATATTTTTATAGACCCAAACAAAAACAAATGTCTACACCTTATATAGCCTTTCCTTAACAAAGCAAGTCAAAAACCTCTCTGTTGTCCGAATTAATCTCATGTCCAAATCCCAAGCAATGCATAATCCCTCGTAAACACTCCAAAGTTCAGCATCAAAAATAGAACATCGTTCTAAAACTCTGATAAACCCTATAATCTAATTACCATTTAAATCCCGAATGGCCCCTCCGTAAACTTTAATGCTTAATGTTATAATTTGGCCAAAATGATAAATTTTGATCAAATTAAAATTTATTAGTTGCTATCTGTCATATCACGTCAATAAATTTTTATTTAATTAAATAATAACATATCTCATCATATTATTTATGAAAAAATTAATAAAACATCGATTGTGGGGACTTGAACCAAAGACAATTTGAAAAAGAAGTTCAATGTTTCTATCAAAATAAAGTTCAATGTTTAACAATTATATCAAACTAAAAAAGTTGATATATTGTTGACAAGTTAATATTTAAGTTAAACAATGATAAAATTAATTGCATATATTTATTACAATAGATTAAGTATAATATGAATTATAAAAATATATTTATAATATATATTAATTTCAACTAAAGTTTTAACTATATATTAATTTTTTAATAATATAATAATTTTTTTTTTTTTATGTAGTGGTAAAGTATAGCACTTTTTTTTAATCCAAGAAATGCCAGCATTTTATTCATAACATAAAATTAATGGACAAACAAGAGAAAAACAAAGACCCCAGCTCTCAGTGAAACACAGCCTGGAAAACTTAAAACCCAAAAACGAAACTTCTGGACCAATAAATTCCAAAAAAAAAAACAAATATTTTAATTAAAACTAAAATATTAAAGTATAAAAGAAGATAAAAAAATAGTAATTTTAGGTGACATCAATTTTAAAAGGTTATATGGAATTTGAATAGGAGATTTTAGTAAAGATATCTGGTCAGTACTTGGAGGGATTTAAAAAAGATAAACAAGATCAAGTGATTTAGCATAACATAGGGCCAAGGTGGAGCATTCTATCCAATGAAACACCATAAATTGCCTATCCACCAGCCATTTCAGCACCATCTAGATCAACCCAACGAGTGGTTTCCATGGCTGCAAATGCGGAAAGCTCTCCACATCTCTTTTCAGGTATAATATCCATCACATGATTTCCAAACCGAACCTGCTTCATTTCTTCCATTTCTACCACAAGACATGGCTTCTGCTTCCTCCACTGCACTATCACTCTCTTCCTCCTCTACCTTCGTTGATGCCAAGGCTTTAGCTCGTCAAAAACCTCTTGCTTCATCCCCACAATGTATCACTCTTCCTCCTCTCACCTTTCAGTCCCAGATTCGTCTCTCCGAGAACACTGCTTACTGTAAGTTCAAAAGAAAACCGTTTTTTTTCAAGCTCTATATCAAATGGTGTTAAGTTTCACCTTTTTTTTCAGTTCGAAAGATGGCACGGAATGTGGTGGTGGCTATGGCCACAAGCACTGAGGCTTCAACGGAAGTGGCAGCAACAGCAACCGAGACTCCAACGGAACTGGTAACAACAACAACAACCGAGACAACGGAGATTACCAAGATAGTTCAAGAAGCCGTAAGCATTTTGTTTCTCTATCTTCATTTCTTTTCCTATTACTAATTGACTATACATGTACACGTGAATGATTTGGTTCACTTTCCAGTGGGATAAAGTCGAGGACAAGTATGCTGTGAGTACACTTGTTTTTGTCGTTATAGTTTCCCTATGGGGCTCTACTGGAATAGTCTCGGTGAGATTCTTGAAACTGCAGATTTGTCTCAAGTGATTAAGCGCTTGAAAATTTGATTTGGTGAAAATGGGAGTGTTTTATGTAACAGGCAATTGACAGGCTTCCTTTGATTCCTGTCATTCTGGAGCTCGTTGGTATTGGTTACACCACGGTAAGCCGGTTTCATTCGAGTTTAGTAGGAAGATCAAAGCATTATATCTGGGAGTTTCCCACTTACGTATGATTCTTTTATTATGTATCCTTGCAGTGGTTTGTATACAAGAACCTTATTTTCAAACCAGACAGGCAAGTCTCAATTTTAACATAAAAAGGGTGATTTATATAGTATGATGGTATTAATATCTAATTGTTTAAACTTCAGGGATGCTCTGTTTCAGAAAATAAGCGACGCATACAAAGAAATAACAGGGAGCAGCTGAGAATGATGCTGAGATGAGGTGTTGCAGGGCATCAACTTGTGGGAGCTTAGTTTGCTTCCTTTTGTTAGCACAAATTTTCTGACCAGAATAAGACAATGTGTTTTGGTATTTTGTGATGAGCAAATTGAAATGCATGTATATTTTTACTTCCCCCGCTATATAGAAATACTTTCGGATGCTAGTAAGTAAGCACAGGAAAAACTAGATCAATTGTATAAATTTTCTAGTATGTTTTAGTTTTTGCTTGGCTTCATGGTTGAGGTATGAGATCGCCATGGACTCGTTGCAGGTGTTATTGTCAAATAAGATGAGAATTCATCTTCATCAAGTCACTGCACATGGGACTGCTCATATCCTTAAAATTATAAACCTGCAAGAAAACCAGATTATTCGAGATTTAGTTCAGCCAACGACGCTCATGCCACTCCTCATGCAAATCTACATGTTCAATGTGAGGATCAAAATGTTGCCTACTCTGATGCGGAAACGTTATTTTTCTTTCTTCGATGAATATAGAATTTCATTGCCAAAAGAAATAACCAATCTGTACAACCAAAAATAAATCACACACCCCTATACACTCAAACCCCACACTTCACGACTATGACTATCCAATTGACTAACTTTACAGGCTTTCATACCGGTAATCTTCACACAATCATCTCCATTAAACGATCTGCTAAGGCTTCCTCCGAGCACTGCTTCCCCTGAAAATTTCCGCAATTCCTTTCCTTCCAAATCAACGCAATGAACACAGTTCCAAGCCAAGTGAAAAATATAAGCCATAGCAGTTTTCCTCCTGGCATTGCAGCAAGCCCAACCGAGCTCATGCCCCCAATCCATGACCTGCCTCGTCACATTACAAGCAGACAAAATGCTCCTCCAAACCCGCCTAGAATAACAGCAATAAATAAACAAGTGGTCTCGAGATTCAATCTCATTTAAACACATGACACACATACCATCAATATTCATACTCGTGGGGAGCCTATCCAGCACTGCCATCCAGGAGATGACAGAGTTCCTTGAGATATGACCTGAGTGCCAAATCAATCTATCCTAAGGCAACCTCGCGCCTTGCTCACAAATAGCTTCCCAGATATCAGCAATCGACGTTGACGAGCCAACCAAGGCACCTCCAACAGCAGCAGCCTTTTCCCTCAAGTGCAGCAAGGATCTCTGAAAACCCATCCACAGTTAGCCGAGCTCCTCACTTGCCAAAAGGAAACGTTCTTACTTGAGCAGGAAGAAGGGTTTCAGTATACACATGCTCACATACGTTGAGAGATACATGTAACTTTATTACTTCTAACATTCTTTTGAATATATCTCAAAAACCTACTCATAAACCCAAAGGTGATATTGTTCTCGTTCAAGATTCCGAACTGGAGAACATTTGTTCACCAATGCTTCCCTTGTTATTAGTTATCTCAGAGGTTAAAATCCTTGACTTCAATTATACAACCGAGTATGATAATAGAGACAAAATGGTATCAGGGACAAAACATAGAAGGGACTAGGCGGGGTCATGCCCCTCCTAAAAATATTTTAAAAAATAATATCATAATATAGGCTTAATACCAAAATAAGTGTCAAAACTATATCTCTTTAGGTGTCTGGGCCGTCAACAGCGTTAGTTTTCCTTTTTAAATGACATGTGTCACAACCTGATAATTTTAAAATTTTTATATAAATTTTTTAAAAAATAAACTATATATATATTTAAAAAACACAAATTTCAAAATAACCCTTAAACTTTGAAAACCTTCATTTCAACCCCTAAACTCAAGCAGACCACAGCCCTTTGGCGTTGAAGAAGCTTCACCCGACCTCTCCTCCCCCGGCTACCAAAACCCCTATGAAATCGTGATCAATCGACGATCGATCGTTGACAAATCAACGTTTTAAATCCCGCAAACCCTATGATAAAAATCACGATCCCATGTGATTCTAATGATGAATCAACAACTATAGCGACGTATAACTAGGATGATGGCAAGGACTACGTCGGCAAAAATTATAGCACCTCCTTCCTATATACGTATCTATTTACGAGTAAGGGATGTCACTTCATTTATACAAAACTTTTACCATTTGAAAATACGAGAAAATTTATTTCTTTTAAAATTTATAAAAATCATGTATTTATTTAAAAATTCATTTCGAGCATACATAAATGCAATCTAATAAAACTACTACATGTAAATTATCAATGTCCTTTTTAGAAAAATAATTAAAATCTTTTCATTTGAAATACAAACAATTTATACAAATTTAGGTCTGAATAGTTAAATTGTCCTTATATACATGTCACTACTTATTAAAAATGTCGAATAGGATGTTGTTACTAATTTCTGGTAGCATACAAAATTCCTCATATTGATGCTGATGTCCACTCTATTTTCCCTTTTTCGCTTGTATCTACGTGTGAATCACTCACACGTTAATTATACATTTAGTGAGGTAACTAAATATAATAATTAAAAATATTTAATAAATAAATAATAAATAGTATCGTATAAAAACATTAATACTTTAAAAACATAAAATATTTATGAATATTAAAAACATTCTTGTGTCGTAACAAACCGAAATAAACCTTTCGAATCACTTTTGAATTTAGAACTTTATTAGCGGACTTTGATCAGTTAAAACCATTCCTGCCTTTTTATTTATGTACCTTTCTTATTAAATCAGATCATCGTTAATTGTTATTTACCTTTTCTGATTAGTTCATTGCCAATTGTATCATCATTAGAATACGCGATAATTGAGTCTCGTATGAGTGAGGGCCCAATATGTAGTTGAAACTGATACTCGTAGTACTAGTATAATGTATTGAGTTACTTCACCTCGTGTATCACTAAGATACCTGAGTCTTCTATGAGCTACTAGTGACGTATCATATAACACATGTAATATCTCATAGATTGCATCAGATCACTTCACATCGGCACCACTAAAGCACATGAGTCTTATACTTTGCAGCTCGTAGTCTTATACTTGTTCACTCGACCTTTTGACATGCGAATTGTACTACTACTCTCACTTTCATACAATGGACCTCATTTTAATCTTATACTTTTTACTTATAAGCATTCATGTAATTCAATTTATTAAACAATTTTCATAAATATCATATCGAGTAACTTGTATAAAAAATCATTCAGACATTATTATTTTTATATATATTTTATTTAAATAAATAAACATACAATCATACGCATCGAAAATCAAGATAATACTAAATCAATACTCAAAACCATATAAAACCATTAAACAAATTGTTTCCATTAAGAAACCTCAATGTTGACTCATCACAAGGCATCCTCATAGCTTATATATATATAACGAATAAATTGCACCCACCTGGTGTCGTACTAGTTTACCTTACGTTCATTTTTATAACCCTCGTATCCGTTCATTTTGATCTCGATTATAATCATAAACTAATCGATCACCGATTTCCAACGTATAAACAATTTACATACATCAGTACTCATACTATTATAATAAAATTAAATTCAAATCGTAATTCCAAAAATTCGACTAAGGAATGTTCGATACTGATTTCTATCCCAAAACCAAAATCGACCTTAACTTAACCAATTTCTCTTTTCAAGTCCTTTAACTAATCACTTATTACAATAATTTCTTAAACTATTCAACATTTCACTTTTAGCCCCTAACTTTTCAATATTTACAAATTAGACCTCAACCTTCCATAACTTTCCAAAACAACCCAATTTCAACTTCCAATAATCATTTCTTACTTTTCACTCAATATTTCTTAATTAGGATATAATTTTTACACTTTTACAATTTCACCCCCTAATTTTTCCAACACTTTTGAATTGGTTCCTAACCATTGTAAAATCTTCTATTTTGATCCAAACTTCAACATTTCATCATTCTAATAATAAACTCCAGAATAGGACCTTAATTTCTCAAAATTTGTGCATAGACCCTATATTTTCCATAATTTGTATTTTGGTCCCTACCTTTTACATAAGTTTCAATTTGGTCCAAAATTTAATTTCAAGCACTCGAGATCACTTCTAACATCATTCTAAGCCCATAGGAAATTTTTGAGAATTTTTCCAATACTTCTCTCTCTACACCGAACACTTTCATGTTTCTATAAAAATAGTCCCTAGCTTGTTTCAAGCTCAATTTCATCACCTACACATCATATTCAATCATTCCAACACAATTCAATATCATTCAGAATCAAAACACAATTTTTCCATGCATAAACCCTAATGGTCGAACCTTTCATATTTCATTATACTTGATTTTAATCAACTTTTAAACTTGATTTCATTACCACAACACTTCCTACAACATGAATAACCCTTAAAACACAAGAGATCAATATCCCCTTCATCAAATCAAAGATGAACTTGAACATAAACCCTAGTAATATTCATGTCAAAACGTAAAAATTTGAACGTGAAACATTTTTCCTAATTATACCGAAGTCAAAATCTCAAGAAAATAACTCAAAAATCGAAACAAATTTTTTTTTCTCTTACCTAATGAAGCTCACGTCCATGAGGAGGAAGATGGGAGCTTTTATCCTAATTTTTCTAGAAAATTAACAAACTTTACACTTATATTTAAAAGATTAAAATGAATAAAATATTCATTTTTGTGAAATGACTATTTTACCCTTAATGAATATTCATAACTACAACTTTGCCATTACATGACGTCATCCATGACATCACCTTATCCATAAAAATCTAAATCTTGCCTTTCCAAGTTTTCCCTTTCATTTTTCTAAAATTTCAATTTAGTCCCTAAATTCCATTGTTTCACCAAACATGGTAAATCCTTTTAATTTGACTGGTCCACTCCGAATTCTTCACATTAAAAATACTAAAACAACATTTCTAACCTCATATTATTATCTTTCAAATTTTTGTAAATTTTCAATTCGATTCAGATATCCAATTATTTTACCGAACTTTACTGATTAATAACTTTTTTTTACAAATTCTGGATAAAAATCTAACATACACGAAAGTCCTTCTTTTAAGGTGAACTATATAACTTTTTCAAAATTAAACTTTAGGTCGTTGAACCTTTTTAAATTTATACTTTCACCATCAAACTTTCAAAATTTATGTTTTGACCACTTGTTGAAATTTTTGGGGTATTGAAGCGATGGTCGTGGGTGTAGAGGGTGGAAACAGTATATTAAGGTTAGAATTTGATATTTTAGGGCTATTTTATAATATAAAAAAATTTAGTATTTTTTTATAAATAGAATAGTAATTTTAAAAAATAAATTTCAAAATTAATAGGTTGTGACATGTGTCACTTAACGGGAAAAACTAACGCCGTTAATGGCCTGGGCACCTAAAATGCTAACATTTGTAACTTTAGGCATCCGAATGAGTCAAAAAATATAAACAATTATTTGATACAAAAGGTATAATTTGGACACTTATTTTCACATTAAACCATTAAATAAATATAATTTTTATTTGAAACGAAACCCTTATTTTGTCAGCTGTAGACATGAGCCATTGCCTAATTTCAAGGGCCAACTTTCTAGCGCAGCTTTAGGGTCATTCCACCACTTTGTATTTCTCTTCCATCAACAGTCGTACTTTTTCTCTCTGCCTTTCCACCCCTAAACCATAACCAAGGTACGATTTTTCTTTTACTTTCTGCTAAACCCTTTTCGTCGCTTTGTCTGTTTTCATAGATCAAACGTTAACTCTTTATCAGCTCTTGTTCCCATGGCTGTTCCTTTTATTGGATCTTATTGAATCCTTTAATATAACAACTTATGACCAAGCTTTGGACTTTGGTTTAGCAAAAGATTTGAACTTTGCGAAGCTTTAGAAGGAAGAATCGGATATTTAAGAAAGTGCTTCCTTTTTTCTCTTGTGATTCTTGTCTCCTACTTGATTGTTGCAGCAGTTTTAATACAGATCAACAGTACTATAAAATAAAGTAATCATCTTTTCTGATATATTGATAAATAAGCATAAAACACCTGACCATATGTCGTTAAAGCAGTGTATTGGATCATTTATATAATTTTTCTGCACTCTTTTTGGGTGATTCTTAGTGTGAAGTAATTTTGGCTGTGTAAAATTGTTTCGATTTTTTAAGAGGGCATAGTATTGTGTTAAGAACTTAAGATTGAGATGTTGATTCTATTATTAGTTTATTGCCTTGTTTTTGAAGATCATGGTAGCTTATGTTTTTGCCTTTTTCTTTTGCAATTGATTCCGGTCAGTTGCATGGCATTCATTATCTGAGCAATGGAAAAACATATAGTCTTTGAATGTTGATGCAATTTATTTTTCTTGTGTATAAAGATGAACGGAGAAGATAAAAATGAAGCTCAGCAAGTGGAAACTCTGCGTAAACCACCCCGCCTAAACGAGAGGATTCTTTCATCTATGTCGCGGAGATCAGTTGCTGCACATCCTTGGCATGATCTTGAGATTGGTATTGATCTAATGAATGAATAATTAGATTTAATGCCGTAGCTAAAACTCTCCAAGTGAATAATCAGACTGCGGAACTAACCTGTTTCGAAAATATTGTCTGCAGGACCTGAAGCTCCAAACATTTTCAACTGTGTATGCATTCTTTCTGATTTTATTAAAAGTCTAAACAAATATGAATCCAATTGTATCCCCAACTTCTTGTTAATTCACTCATATTAGCACATATTGTTTGCCGATTGAATTTCTTGTTCAACTTTACTGTACAGGTTGTTGAGATACCAAAAGGTAGTAAGGTCAAGTATGAACTTGACAAGAAAACTGGATTGATCAAGGTATGAAAAGATTTGCATCTTTGAAGATAAGGTATTCCTAGAACATGTTCCTCAGATACTACGCCAAGGCTTTTTCCCATCTCCCAAAGAATACCAGTTCCCCCCCCTGTTTATCTGAACATTTTCTTCTATTTCGGCCGGAGACTGGAAATTTTTACAAGAGAAGAATTGATGTTTCATAATAGAGTCATGATCCTCCCTACTTATCCATTTCTTGCATGTCTTGCGATTTGGTAATATTTTCTTACTGTTAAAATGAATATCAGGTTGATCGGATTTTATATTCATCGGTGGTCTACCCCCACAACTATGGTTTTATCCCTCGCACACTATGTGAAGACAATGATCCCATGGATTGTTTGGTTATCATGCAGGTAAAATACTATTAAAATTCCCAACAACTTACTCCGGAATGTTAATATGTAGTACTATTAATTGAATCACTATAAAGGAATCTCATCTGTTTCATTGTTGACCATTGCTTCTACCACCTGAACTGCAATGGGATTCCATAATTATATATCTGTCATTAAGTAGATTATGCCATAAGACGTGACTGCTGCATATTAATAGTGATCTACAAGTACGCAAATTATTTTATTTCTTCAAATAGGAGCCTGTTCTTCCTGGATGTTTTCTGCGAGCCAGAGCCCTTGGACTAATGCCAATGATTGACCAGGTATTTCACTAAAGTTTGAAGCTAACCTTTTGCACTTCTTTCATTCAGTTTGTGTGATATCTGCTTCATAATTCTCACCCAGGGGGAGAGAGATGATAAGATCATTGCAGTTTGTGTTGATGATCCGGAATACAAGCATTACAATGACATCAAAGATCTTCCCCCTCATCGCCTGACTGAGATCCGTCGTTTTTTTGAAGACTTTATCCTTTTCAATCTCAAATTACAAATTCAACTTTCAATGTTTTTATAAAAAAAATGTTCTGTTTTGTTCGCTGATGTGAGGAAATACTGCTCCTTAACACTGCACAGACAAGAAAAATGAGAACAAGGAGGTTGCAGTTGACGAGTTTTTACCGGCAACCGCTGCTGTTGAAGCTGTCCAGTATTCCATGTATGCCTTGAAAAATAACAATTGTACTTCCAAGGATGGTTATGCACAAACCATAGAGAAGATTCCTATGTCAAAAGCTGATGGACATTCCCTCTTTGGTTCATACATCCTAGGTCGTCATTAGTCGGCAATTTTCTTATGCATCTACTGATGTTATGTTGATATGGTGCAGGGATCTTTACGCGGAGTACATCGTGCAAACACTGAGGCAGTAGGCTGCAAAAGGAGGCGATTTTCCTTCAAGTTTCTCTCATTTATTCTTGGGGGGAAAATGTACCTTACCAAATAAAACATCTTATCAACAGCATTTTGATAGGAATCCAACTCTGGTTACCTTTTTTCTTTCTTTGCTTGTTCTGAACGATTGTCATTTCGCGTTGGATTAAACTTTGTTGTACAACAAGAAATTATACTTGGGTTTGTATAACTACTAGAATGTGCTTTAAACATATTTGATATTCATCTGCTCTTAATGATCAGCTTCAACGTTTACCTCCTAGCACCATGTAAACTTATGAAGCAACTGACATTCAAGACATGTTTCCATTTTCAATTGTTGTGGGTGCCACAAGATTAACCCTTTTGATCACACACTGTAGATTATACCAATAAATAGTCGATGAAATTTGATATACTTTCCGGATCTTTTCAACAAATTGTTAACACTGCTCCACATATAAAAGCTTCCAGAAATTTAAAATTTTAGAGTAACTTGTCCGCATATAAATCGGAAGAATTCTTCCGTTGATCAGAACCTTCAAAGATCCATAATCTATAACTACTTGTAATCTTTTGATATGAGCATTAATAAGTCTACACGGTCTGTTAAAATTAAATCTATTATCTGAAAATAATATCTACAAACTTCGTCGGCTTACGAATAACTATTATGACCCTAAATTTGATACCATTATTAAAATCTGATATTCAAATCATCATACATTGCTGAAGAAAGAAACATACATTCAATCCCTAACATTCCATTTTATTTTCCTGAGCATATTACTCTCCGGCAACGACTCTATGTCCATATCAAAAAGGGTTATTCCCGTGTTGCATTTCTAGTGGATTATGATTATCTCCTATGTTTTGCTGAAATTCATTTCTAGTCAACAACAATCCATGCAAAACAAGACAGTCATTTGATTCTACCTTTTTCTTTGGCAAAATCATAGCATTTATAAATGACAACTCTATAAATTATACACCCCCACAACAGATAAGGAAATACAAATCTATGAATAGTGATACACCCCACGACCAACAGGGAGATAAAAATCTATGAATCGTGATACAACCCACGACCAATAGGGGGCTATTAAAAAAGAGTTTGGGAACAATGTACCAAAATAATCTTATACGGTCATGAATACCATTTGTTTAAGAGTTCCAAGAGAAGCACTGCAGCTGAGTCCTTAGCCTTCTTAACACTGGGCATTGGCTCGCCTACGCATTCATCGGTCCACCCCCTGTCAGTGGTATTTACCTTAACAGCAAATGTAAATCTCTTTGCATGGGCCGGTCCCCCTTCACTCACACACCTAAAGATACACACAATAGATCGGTTATCTCTGTTGTCGTCCAAGAGGAAGAAAAGGTACTGACTCGAATTTCTTACCGATAGGAGGGCATAGGCCAGTTTCGACGCAGGCAGATATCATTCAATGTTTGTCTTGTAAATGTCTGGTTTCCATTCTTCTTTTTCCCATTCTCCTCAGGGTTCTCCTTAGCATCAGCTGTTTCTTTCTCCTTCAAGACAGCAAGTGCATTCCTCGCAGCTAGTTTCTGTGCCATCTTCTTTTGGGGATTCTGAGCAACTCCCACTTGGACACCATCTATGAAAACCTCCACAGTGGCCAAATTGCCACTTCGACTGGCTTTGTATTCCAAGCCTTCAGCTTGTTGCTGGCATCGCTCTTGTAGTTCCCGGACAGGATGCATTGGCAATGTCTCTGGAGTCACCATGGGATGCAACAGAGGTTGAAAAACCTGGAAAGCAACAACAATTTTTTTTCCTTATCAGATATCTTTTTTGTATATAGTTGTAAGAGAAGTCGGGAAGGGCAAAAATTCATTCCCAAACTAACCCTCCAGACAACTGCAGTGTCACGTCCGCTGTCAAGAAAAATGCCACCAGCAATAGATTCAACAATATCTCCAAGAACTTTTGGAGCTTTGCAATCTCCCAAACCGAATGAGTTGAACCCCGGCTTTAATAACTCCTCCTGAACTTCCTTCACGAATTCCCGAATCTGAAACAGAAGCCAATAATGCCAAAGTCAGGAAAAACCTACCATTGTGTCAGAAAAGCAAGTTGATTGTTGGGGTTAAAACTACCAGCCATTACATATGAAAAAGTGAAGGAATCAGACAGCAAACCTGTTTCTCAAGGGCACTTGATCCATGCCGAAGGTGCACATGAAGCTGGTGCTTTACCGCAATACGTGCAAAGTTTTCATTATTTACAGCAGCAGCCCGCAAATCAGTCAAGCGGCCTGGAGGCAGATTGGTGTATGTGAAAAATAAATGTCTTGTGATAAGATGATCCAAGACTGCATCACCAATAAACTCCAAACGCTGGTAGCACGATACTCCAGATGCTGGGCGTGAAGCATGAGTAATAGCTTCTACCAACAAGGCCCTATTATTAAACTTTATTTTCAATGCACCTTCCAAGGCATCAAAATTTACACTCCTAAGTATGCTTTCTTTAACATTGGATGGCTTCATTATAGATTCCATCTCAACAGGATCGGATTCCACCTGGATCCCAATCCATTTCATGAGGTGGTTAGCTGCACTCTTGCCACCTTCAACATAATATACTCCAATTAGCGATTCAACAACGTCCGCTAAGGTCTTGCTAGAGAGGACTCTATAAGAACTTGAGTCACTCTCAATCTCACCATCTTCCATATCTTCATCTTCAAACCCATCACCATTTACTTTTCCTGGTAAAACATCAACAGTTGTATGTTCTTGATCAAATAAGGATGTGTCTCCATCTTTTGTATCCTCGTCAAAGACTGGCAATACCCCAGGAGCAGCCCATCTAGATGGTGCAAAGCGATCCGCTTGGATATATGATTGAAGTCCCTTGTTTAGTGAATATTGATACAATACCATGTTACTCACCATTTGTTGCCTCATCCTGGTCAGTTGACCCTCATGTTTATCGGGATATTTAAGAAACAAAAAGCGACTAACAACCCATTTCAAGTAAGCATCCCCCAGCAGCTCTGCCCTTTCATAGCAAAATGTCTCCTGACATGAAGCGGCAGTCAAAGCTTCCAAAATCTGAACATGAAAAATGAAGTAAATTTATTAATCATCTGAAAGCCACTAGAATTTAACCAGCCAGACAATATATCACACCTTTGAAGCGGGGACTGGAAATTGTATTATGTGCTTAAGTTGAATTGCAAGAAGCATGCTCTCGACCCTCCTCATAATAGAGGGCAACCTCTGGGCACCTCTAACAAGTGATCCAGGAAGTGGATGGACAAAACACAGCTCCGGAGGAAGAAAAACATAGTATGTTTTGTCAATAGCCTCCTCTGATTCACCTTCACATGGTGCACATATTACGTTAAGCAACAAAAGGACCATAGCAACATATTAATTTTTGATGCAAGAAGAATTTTGCTAAATATACCTTCCGAGTGCTCAAATCGAGGAGACAAGAGATTCTTGCAGTATGAAACACCACGACCTCTTATTAAAGCTTGCCGCTTGTATCTCAACTCAACTCCATATCTGGTAACAATATAGACAGGAGTCAATAGCCTAATGCACTGAGAAAAAAATGATGAGAGAGAGTGTCAGGAAAGAAGAGAGAGAAAAAGGAATAGGCCAGTCTTCCTCCGGCGGGAGTTGGACTGTATTCGTTGACAACCTGAGTAAGAGAGTCACTAGGAGTGAGCTAAGAAACATATTTATCGATCAGGGTCAGGTGGTAAGAATTTTCATACCAAATGTGGTGAACAGGCCAAAGTATAAATCTTTCACTTTTGCCTTCGTTCAGTTTGGTAATGAAACAGAGATGAGGAATGCAGTTGAAAATATTAACGGGTTGTGGATAGATGGGAGGAAAATTTACGTTGGAGTTGCAAAGTACCAGAGTGTCTGACCAAGGGTTGCTGGTTCTTCTCGTCTTTCAGTTGGTGTCCAGGAAAAGGTTATATTTGATAAAGCTAATCCAAGTTCGAAGGCTGTGATTCCGAGCAGATTAAGAGATGATAGATCATACAAAGATGTCTTGGTGTCGTGCAGTTCGCAAAAGACTGAGTCGGAGCATATAGGAAAAAGTTACGAAAGTCTAGACAGGGGAAGAGGGATGAAGAAGAAGAAGAATATTTGGGAAATGCATATTCCTACTGAAAATTCAAGTTGGGTGAAAAGATCTCTAACGGGTATTGTGAAACATTCCTTTGAGCTGGAGTTGGTTCAAAAAGGTTTGGCTAGTGATGGTATTGAAGTTCAAGTTGCGAGCTGGGGATATGTTTGGAACTCTTGTGTTATAACGTTCAAATCAGAGGAATTGATGAAGGATGCGCGGTCAAATAAGAGTAAGGAGTTATGGTTCTGGTTCGATCGGTTGGCACCGCTGTTGAATGAAGGTGGAGTGCCTATGGCTTATTGTTTGGTGGAGCTGTTCGGTGTCCCTCAGTTATGTTGGCAAGAGAATTTCTTACAGAAGTTAGCTGGAAGGTGGGGTTTAGTGGAGGTCATCCAGGATTCGACTCTAACAAGGGAAGATCTCTCGATGGTGAGAATTTTGCTTAGGGTGGAAAGTCCCTTTGACTTCCCGGAAGTGTTTACTCTAGGTTCCTATGGAAGATCATATAAGGTGACTTCTAAGTTGGGATCTACTTCCCAGGTTTCAAATTTCTTTCATGGCATCTCGCCGGATAAATTTTCCGACGATAGAGTCACAGTCGTAGAGTCGTCAGAGGAGGAAGACGATAGTATACGTTCGTCAGACATGGCAGGTCCAGGTCAGCTTGATGTGGAAGATCGGCAGAAAGTGGACTTATGGATTGATCAGGGATTTCCTGTCGGGGTTGGTGCAGCAGGTGAAGAAAATCAGTTTTCAAAAAGAAGCTTGGCAGGGAAAGACATTAATGAAGTTGTGTCAGAAGGTCACAGTTTGGGGAGTAGTAAAAAGGGAGATTATGCTGGGCTGGGTTTAAGAAATAAGGGGGATTATAAAGACAGTTTGCAGGCCCTTTCAGACAGGAGCAGTGAGCCTTTTTCTCCTATCTTGAGACTAGTTCCGACTGGGCCAGCAGTCAAATTCATTGGGCCCGGAAATGCTAATCAAAAGCAAATTCATAATGTTACTAGCAGCTCTGGGGATGGAGACAAAGACAGAGGCAGTCAAGGCTTATGGTCTGAGGCGGGTTTTAAGGATTCAACAGGTATG